TCAGTGGAGCAACTAAGCGAGTAAGCGGCAGTGCTGCTTCCTGTCGGTGACGCCGCATTGCCCAACGATCGCAAACGCGGCCTATGGTTCTTATTAGAGTAGGCCCCTACTGTTAGACTATAACAATTGACCTGTATATAATAACATTTTTCTTATTATTATATTATAATACATGTTATTATATACAGCATAGTATGGTATATCATATTAATAAGAATTTATTTACTGAAAGTATATATCGTTTATTGACCATAGGTGGCGCGATGCGTAAAATCGAGACATCTGACATGTGTTTACGTGGTATTTGTGTCTCTAATTCTCTCTATATAGTATATATATATACTATAGTTCTAAACAGTTTCGTTTCTGATGTTTTCGTATGAACTTACAGTGATTGGTTATGTTATTAATGGGTTATAGTATTTCTACTCAATACATATGTTACCATTAAAGTAGCTCTAGTAGTGAGTAGTACTATAGCCGCTTACATTAACTGCCGCTGGCGGCAGTTAATGTAAGCGGCTATAGTAGGCCCTACTAGAGCTACCATTAAAGACTAAAGACGAAAAGAGTAACTAGAGTAAAGTAGATACTAAGACGGCCGCCAGCGGCAGTTAATGTAAGCGGCTATAGTACTAGAGCTACCATTAAAGTAGATACTAAGATATACCGGTACACAAATAGATGTTTTTAATAACGCAGTGGCTGGAGGTACGGTAGCCGTCGTTCGTTGAAGCCCCTTTTTGGCGTTAGGGTTAGGTTTAGGGCTAGGTTTAGGGTTCGGGTTCTAGCTCATCTAAACTCTCAAATCGTGAATTTATTTCCCAATCGTTATTTCCAAGGCGTTATTTCGAAATCTGGCGCCACCGCCGCCATCTTTGTCTCGTTAAGGCCCGCTTATGTCGGCCTTACGACCTAGTCGCCGACAAGATTTGAATATCGTACGTCAAAAACCGGCCAGATCGCCGATAAAAACATCGGCGACCAAACTCGACATGAGTTCTCTTACGATCGAAAATGCGGTCGCCGACTGCAATCGCAGGAATAGAACATGTTCTATTTCTATGCGGCTGTCGGCGACAAATCGTGAGTGGCAGCCAATCATCGCAGCGTGTCGAGTCACATGATTATCAAAAGTCACGTCATTAATAAAATGGCAGCCTACACGCCACTCGTCAGCAGTTTACAAGGAGGGATTATTGCACAAACCCTTTCTCAAATATATATTAAGTTTTCCGTATATCACATAAAAAAAATTTCTGCACATGATTATAACGATGTTCAGAAAATTTAGGATAGATTTACGAAGTTACATAATGTTTACTGGTAAGCGCCATTTTGTTGGTCACGTACGTGACTTGTTTTATGTATACTGGTCCCGGCATCAAGCTTGTTCTGTTTGTGCTAAAGAACTGCTTGTGCTAGTACAAATACTGGGGCCGCGAACCCGTCTACGTTTCATACAGGAACGCTACGATCTGTTCGGCGATGTGCAGCGTAGTCACTTCAAGTCGACATGAGTGTAGAGCTACGCTGCTAATCGGCGATAAAGTGTCGCCGATAGTCAAATCGTAGGCCGACATAAGCGGGCCTTTAAGTATGAAAGCGAATGGACTCGAGCGTACCCGTAGCCTCGAGACATTAAGATATGGCTACCGTACCCTAATGAATTTTTTAAATGGCAATGACTGAATGAGTGACCATATTAATTATTATTGACTATTGTCATTGATATTGTCTGAATTGTAAATGTAAGTGTAATGACTAATGTAACAACCTCATAGTCATATGATAATAGATATTCATAACCTCATATTAGTCTTCAAAAGTCCTAGGGACTATAAGTATAACGAAGACGGTGGGAGAAGTGGCTCAAATCGATATATATCAACAAATATATAGACAACATACCTATATAATATATATATATAAATTAATATAATATATTATTATTATATTATACGCAGTAGTGATGTCACGATCATCGATTATACTCGATCATCGGTTGAACAGTGGCTCAAACCAAGCGCTTGGTTATCAAAATCCATAATCGTTTGTTTTGTTTAAAAAGTGATGAGAATCAGAGATATCATCGCTACTAGTACTATACAAGTTATCCTTTATTAACATACATGTATTATACACACAGTAGCAAACAGTGTCAAAACAAAACAAACAGTAAACAGGGCTAAACAAGCACATACATGCAGACACGTACATGCACACGACGTTACGCACACGCAGGCATTCAACACCCGAGTAACCGATTGTAACCGATCATCGGTTACTTGGGTCCAACCGTATGATCGATTACTAGTGTTGTCAATCAGTTGTAATTTCGTAATCGATCATCGGTTTGACCCAAGTAACCGGTGATCGGTCACAATCGGTTACTCGGGGTGTTGAATGTCTGCGTGTGTGCATGTATGTGCTTGTTTAGCCCTGTTTAGTGTTTGTTTTGCACTGTTTACTACTGTGTGTATAATACATGTATGTTCATAAAGGATAACTTGTATAGTAGCGATGATATCTCTGATTCTCATCACTTTTCCAAGTTTTCATGTTCAAGTTTGAAATTTTTTGATGAAATCGATTATGGATTTTGATAACCAAGCGCTTGGTTCGAGCCACTGTTCTACCGATGATCGAGTATAATCGATGATCGTGACAGCACTATCTATTACGAAATTACAACCGATTGACAACACTAATACGCAGTGGCTGGAGGTACGGCAGCCGTCGTTCGTTGAAGCCCCTTTTTGGCGTTAGGGTTAGGGTTAGCTCTAGTACTATAGCCCGCATACATTGACTGCCGCAGGGCTATAGCAAATTGTCGGCTGGAAGTACCAACTGCAACCTGTCACCACCTGTCCCCACGAAAAATGGATCGCAAAACGTAAAATTATCGGGCTTTTTAACACTTATCTATCTACGTGGACATCTCACTTATGTTTTTGAACACTTTACGCAACTTTACACCATGTATTTATCTTTTTATTCCACAAAGTAAGCACTACTGGAAATTCCTGTTTGAAATTCTGGCGTGCGTACGCGTGACGTCACCGGTATTGTATAATATACATACACCGGATCTGTAGGCAAAATACATGGCATGTGTATACAATACCGGTGACGTCACGCGTACGAACGCCAGAATTTCAAACGGAAATTTCCAGTAGTGCTTACTTTGTGGAATAAAAGGATAAATACATGGTGTAAAGTTGTGTAAAGTGTTCAAAAAGATAGGTGAGATATCCACGTAGATAGATAAGTGTTAAAAAGCCCGATAATTTTGCGTTTTGCGATCCATTCTTCGTGGGCACAGGTGGTGACAGGTTGCAGTTGGTATTTCCAGCCGGCAATGTACTATAGCCCTGCGGCAGTCAATGTATGTCTGCTATAGTACCAGAGCTAGGTTAGGGTTAGGGTTCTAGCTCATCTAAACTCGATCTCAAATCGTGAATTTATTTCTCAAGGCGTTATTCTGAAATCTGGCGCCACCCGCCGCCATCTTTGTCTCGTTAAGTATGACAGCGAATGGACTGCCGTACCTCCAGCCTCGAGACATTAAGATACGGCTGCCGTACCCGTAGCCACTGCCTATATTATATGATTACATTCAGTGTTTCCCCTGGCCAAAAATTTCTGTGAGGGGGTAAATTTTTTGGGGTGTGACAATGACAATGCAGGCTTTCAGATTTGAAAAGTACAGGAGTCCTGACTACTAATGACTCCCCTAGGACACCATAGGGGGTCTTTTCACGCTCCATAATCACACCCTTAAGAGGCATGATGGAGAGCTCCACTCAAAAATCACACCCTTAAGAATAAGAGGCATGATGGAGAGCTCCACTAAAAATGACACACTCTTAAAAGGGATGATGGAGAGCTCCGTGAGGGCTCTCCATCATGCCTCTTGGGGTGTGATGATGGAATCATGACCAATCCTCAGTCTAGAGTGAAATCCAAAACGAAAATTGGGATGTCATGTCAATCCACTGATTATCATTCATCTTCACCTTCATTCATTCAATGGCTTCGTCATGATTACATTCTTTTCATCCAACAACCCAACACGTGACTAGCACACAGATTAATAAAAGAGTTGATCGGATGTAAAAATAAACTTGTTTTATTTATTCTGACATGACATGAACAGTCTTTCTGAATTTGAAAAGAAAATACAATGTGCATGTATTAAGTTTAACTGTAAACCAACCTAACCTTAACAACCATTATTTTTCATCCAACAATTTCTAACCAGTATACTATGCTTTTTACCATTCACCAATGTTCATAAGTCACAGACAGTAGTTCTCATCACGAATTCATCAATTGAAGAAAAAAATAAATAGCTGTGGTTAAAGACAAAATTGCTGTGGAGAGCTTCTGACACCACAGCATTAAAAAAAAAAATGCTGTGGTCAAGATTTTGGGAATTTCCAGCCCTGAGCTATCTAGCCTACCTTCGTTATTGCTGCCCTCCACATCCTGCAGTTCCTTCTCTAGATCCAATCCACACTTGTGGGCATCACACTCTAGATGCCTAACTACTGTATGTTTGGTAATGAACTGTGTTCCTTCAACGAAATGCAGAAGGCCACTTTCACTTGCGCCTTTGCATTTTCCCCGGTTCTTCAAACATGCCACAATCTTCTTGTGATGGCGAGTCTTACACCACGTGGTCTTGACATACAATGTGGCATTTTTTTCAAATGTATCATATCCAAAAGACAGCTTTTAAAGGTTTTTTCTTTCACAGTTTTTGAAGTTGACAGCGTGCTTGCTGCCGGGTCCGCCATTGTTTTAAGATACGACGAAGGGTGTATGAAAGCTGCATTCTCATTGGCTACTGAAACTAGAGTTGGGCTAGATACTCCAATCAGGGCTCGCGATCCATTTCAACATTGACAACTCTATGGAGCGCTATTTCAACATAATACACAGACTTTTGGTGCACGATTTCAACCACTTTTATGAGGCGCGATCATGCACGCACCAGGGCACAATTTCGGGTGCGCGGTGGAGCGCAGGCACGATCGCGCCCCTTAAAAATGAAAGCCTGCTGAATGTCACTGACTGTGCGCGTTTTGAGGTCCTAGCAAAGCGAGCACTATGGTTACTCATCCAGCTAGGTAGGGGGGGGGAGGCTCCGAGGGGATGGCCCCCGGAAAATTTTGGAAAAAATAGTATAATTTGGTGCATTCTAAGTTATATTTCGATTTTAGTTCAATAAAGTGTGGTTAATTGATGGAAGAACAATGATTTTCGTCAGCTAGGCGGTGTTTTGCACAAATTTCTATGTGTCAGCTAGATACTCTAACAATGATATTATATATTTTTATTCGGGTAGTGTGGGACGTCATTCATGCAGCCTACCTTATAATTATCTACGACATTGTCGACTTCTTATGAACTTAATTTCTTGCAGAAGTCCCAGGGATTAGATTCATCACAGGGGCATGGCCTGCTGGCATAAACTCAAAACGGCCTAGGCATGTGGTGTTGTTTTTGTGCGATTTATCAAGCCGATTAACAGGCGTCAGCGTAGCGTGCGCATAGGGTCCGGAATTAGGTGCGATTCACTAAGCTTCTACGCTGACGGCCACTGTGTATAACTCCATGAAAGCTAAATGGTTGGTGTAGCTTCACTGAGGCAGAGAAAGACGAACATTCATATCTTAGATCGTTTAAGGCTATAGGATTGAAATAAGCACTCGTTTTGACATCCTGCTAATCTTGGGCATGTATATGTATGTGAGGGGGGTAAAGAATCGGTAACACGTATATAAATCACAAATATAGTCTGGGTGGGCGGGGGGGTGCTCATAATGGTAGTGTTTGTAGCGATGGTGGCAAAGGTTTGAGTGGTAGTTGAGTGTCTCTTAGTCTTAGTAACAGCAGCCTGAACACAGAAAGTGCGTTGCTTTCCCTAAACGACTCTAGGTCTCTGACCTCCTCACCATGATTTCTTTCTGGAATATCTTGCATGACCTCATTGCTGTTCAACACGAACTTGTTCAAATTAAACCCTCCTTTGCTTAAAGTTTTTATTACGAGAATTTTGTTCAGAAACGCCCAATCTAAAAAAACACTAAGATTTTATGCAGTTATAGAATAGAAAATTGGATATGAACACATTGTAACACAAAGAAAATAACATCAAGTCGCGAGATTTGTTAGATGTGTCAACCTGCAATTTGTCGGTGCAAACGAGATTGTGCAAGAAACGTGTAAGTCTATGAATGATAGCTGGTGCTAGTAGCACTACTAACTGGCCCAAGATTACAAGAAAAGGCTCGCTGGTAATCGAACTTGCATGTTTTGGTGAATACGAAGGTTCTAATACATTTTATTGTACTCTAGACAGTTGCTGTTGCTCAAGCAATAACAGTAGGTAATTAAACAGTCATACAAGTGGGGAAAATACTAGATAATTCTTGTAAATATGGCTTTAAAACCGTTAGTGTTTCACTGGTGACGATTCTTGCTTCATTCAGTATAGATATAGACTTTGAACAGATAATCATAGACATAAAAAGATCTTAACACTGTATCCTCTACTAAAGGGCGCACATGTTGTTGATATTGAGCTGTCCATCTAAGTACATACATGGGTGGAGCTGGTGGTGCACCATATACCTCCAAAGAGATGTGATGTCATTCTGTAGTGGGTGAGCTAAACTTGTTTATTGTACCATAAAAATCTGAGTGCGTCTCGATCGTCGGGTGGAATCTATGTGGTGAAACACGTGGCTTTAAGACCAAGGATTACGCTGATTTAACAAGAAAACTAATTTAAACGTGTTTTGTCCCAACCATATGGTTGCTCTCCACCTCACGATTTTATCCTTGAAGTGATTCACATGAGATCACGTGACAGCACAGCAAAACCCCCCAGAATGGATCCATCGACGTTTATATCTACCGTGGAGATAACACACTTTTTAACTGGAATTTGCATTGATATTCATACATGTTATGATCGGACAATTTGGAAAGGAGTTTCATGAGGATATTTTTGTAAGTTATGAAACTCCACAATTCCATTACGGTGCATGCACGATAACAACCCTGTCTCTGATAAGACTTCAGGAAGGTTCTGCAATTTGTGAATTGGTGTGAAGTCAGTGTGTAAAATTAACAAGTTAATCCTATTTAATCCCCACTATTTGTCTCTAATATAAAACACCTGCCACTTCTGCACGAAATAAAGTTCATCAAAGATCAACAAAAGGCATAGTTTATTAGCGAGGTTGTGGGATGTAAGGCACTACCCATTTGTCATGTATATCTTCCTCATATTTCTAAGGAATCAGAAAATTAATTGAAATATATGGTTTTATGATTCATGGGCATAATTTTGCTGTTGTTATTCGGAGCCCCGATTGAATTGTAAGCGTGTTTTCTATCAGGATATGCATAATAATCACCTGGGCTTAGTATCATAAATCCATGTTGTTGTCTAAGCAATTATAGAATTGATTCATTTGTCTGTATTTATTCTAGGTTGTTTCTGATCATGTTTGACTTATATTAGCTGCGTTCACACGTATACACGGCCTCGCTGGTTCCATACTTAGTTGGTGCTGAGTTCGGCTGAAATGCGTTCACATGAGATACACGAGCTTCGAGGCTTAGCTAGCTAGGTATAATATGGACTGGTACCCGGTCGACAGTTCCACACGCTACACTAACGTCGTGCAGCGAATGGGTACCAGTCTAGGTATGCGCGCTACAGTTTTGCAATTCGAATGCGTTCACACGACAGACAATACGCGGCCAGCGTGGTGCCGAATATACGCGGCTTACTTGGCGCGGAATGTGATTCCGCGCTAAGTAAGCCGCGTATTTAAGTACGGTACTGAATAAGCCGCGTATATTTTAGCGTGTGAACGCTCAAGTACGGAACTGAAATTCTCGTGTGAACACAGCTATTGCACCCAGTGATGTTGGCGACATGACGTGATTGTGATTTAGGTGCAAAGTCGGCAGACACCAAAGCAGCGGGAGTTTCATTGTAATGCTCAGGATAAATATCTATGTACCTTGTGAAGAAGCAACCTCATAGGAGTATTGAAACGAATGATCGAAATCGAAAAAAGAATGCCGCTTGACATGTACAATAAAGGTTTGGCGTCTGCGTCAGATATGCATGTAAGAGGTGAATCGCATCCACCTCCATTGATTAATAAATCAGTAAGTGATGGCAGCTTGCATCGGACTAGTGACACGTCGAAAGGTGACATATTGCCGGATCATGCCAAATCGGGTCTGTGCAATGCAAAAGCCATGATCTTCCTGGTACTGTGGTATCTCTTCAGTTTCTGCAACCTATTTATGAACAAGTTCACGATAGATACCTTGAAGGGAGATGCCACATTGTTAGGTAATTTTGAAATAAATGTTTATTTGGAGAAACCCAAGTATGATAATAGTTACGCACCGATTTTCAAATGTATGTTTGTTGCAACAGTTAATACGTCTAAAGGTTGATATTGTTTAAGATATTTTCTGGAAATAATGGCCCTCCCCCCCATCAAACGTGTCGTGGTTTTCAGGTGTAGTGCAGATGTGCACATGTATATCAGGTGGCTTTGTACAATTGCACTTTCCCTGTGGAATGTACACACTATCGGAGAGGGAGGAACGGCCACCAAGCTTTCTCAGGAACATGCTCATTCTGGGAACAATGAGGTATGCCTAAAGATTTGGGTTGAATTCAAAACGGCAGGGCAGGAACACTTGTAATTTGAAGAGAATCTTTCTCTCATGTGTGTTACATTTGTTTATAACAGCAGAATCACGCTTGTAACAGGGTGGTGATGTTTTTGAGAAAAGTGTGATGATATTTCTAATAGGTCGGAGACATTTATTAATATGACATTGAGGTTTGTAATAGAGGTTGCTGTTCCTAACAAAGTAATGCCATTTGTAACATGCCGACGACGATTAGAACACAGTATTTGTGTTTAACAGGAAAGTGACGTTAGTAGTGTGGTATAAATCTTCACGGCATGGCAGTAAGGCTCGCCACACGTTGGGTATTGCTCTGCCGTGCACTGCCATCGTTGACTGGCACATTGCAGGTTCATCACTGTCATTCTTGGCCTGGTTGCACTCAAGTTTGTCGCCGTGTCCTTCACGGAAACCGTGAAAAGCTCGGCGCCCATCTTCACCGTGCTGTTGTCGCGAGCAATGCTTGGCGAGAGGACGGGCATCTGTGTCAGCATCTCTCTCATCCCCGTCATGGCTGGACTGTTTCTGTGCAGTGCGACTGAGCTCAGCTTCAACCTGATGGGCTTCCTCGCTGCACTTGCGACCAACCTCAGTGAATGGTGAGTGTTGCTACTAGCTGTACCATGGGGTTACAGTTCTAGCTGAGTTGGGCTTCTCCCCATGCATTTCAGAGTGCATGTTGTGTATGGACGATCTGGGAGTCCTGATACATGGATTAAAATAAAAGTTTACTAGTCATTTGTGTTTTCGGGTGCTTTATTTTCACCTAATGAACTGGAAAAGTTTGAAAAAGGGACAGGAACATAGATATTTGAAAACATTTGGAAATTATGAAATGTTGGAGGATATAAAGGATGTCACGAATTAGCTTTAGAAGGCATGTCACACCCGACATGCAGTAGTACAATGTAAAGGCCATGGCAGAACCCTGCTGAAAGCTGCGTGTCTTCGGGCAGTAGAAGGGGGGTGGGAGGGGTGAATGAGTTTTTCCTGTCACAGAAGATGGCAATGTCTAATGTACTCAGCTACACAAGTGCTTGTTCTTAAACGTTGGTCTATTAAATTGTGTGATTTTAGATGGTTGTGTGACAGCGAGGAAGACGTTATAACTTTAGTAGTAGCTACTTGCTAATGAAACCTCAGCCATAAGAGAAGTTGACTGCTGTTAAATGTCTTTTGGTATTAAACTTGTGAACAGTTTTCTAGAAAACTAAATTCTACACGTATCAGTAAAACTGGTGGCAGGTAATAATAATCTGTTTGGTAATACGTTTATATCTAACTGCTTTCAGTTTGATATCTTATTAATTATAACTTATACAGTTATATCTTGCTTGATAAGTGGTATGTTATCACTGTGGTTTCCCCATCATTCACTGCAGATAAGTTGTATGCATTTTTCTTGTATGACTACAGCACTCAGAACGTTTTTTCGAAGATGCTAAGGAGTGACAAGCGATATCAGTATTCGTAAGTGCTTCCAATATGTGGTACTTATAGATAGAAATTATATTACACTGCAGGGGTAGAAATTAACTTTTAAACAATGGAAGTCCGTTGGACTCCCCTCCCCTCAAAAAGAGGGAGTCTATAGCAAAATGAGGGAGTCCGCAGACTGAAGTTCAAAATTAAACATATTAACAATAACGCATGTGCTTATTTTGAAGATTCATGCAGTTGCACATCTGCCAAATTTTCTTTGGGCATTTGCTAAAAAAATACGGTAATTCCGCAAGGCCGTGTTCAGGAACGAACTAGTTAGTATGACTGAGAGGGTCTATGTCCCCCGGGGTACTGCCGGAGCGTTGCAACCCTGGTACTATCTAATATGCCGGACCGTACCTCGCCTACTCCTCTAACGAGTCTAGGGAGTCGCCTATGCCTACTCCCTAACCCTAACCCTAACTCTAATCCTAACTCTAACCATATATCATATAGTGACCAGGGTATGTTCCGGTATACCGGACCGTACCCAGGGTACGTTCCAGCAGTACCCTGGGGGACATAGACCCTATGAACATTAGTATGGCAGAATTTTCAGGGAGTCACACGGACTCCTGCATATGTCAAATCAGGGAGTTCGACAGTAAATCCAGTCCTTGTATTTTGAAAAAGGCAGGCGAGTGAAAAATCACACACCTTGGCTTGCCGAGGTGTGTGATTTGCATCCGAGTGCCCGCAGGTCACGAGGCAAACTAGGGGGGTTCGGGGGCATGCCCCCCGGAAATCTAGACTTCATGAAATGCCATTTCCAGCATTTTGGGATAAAAATTAGCTCTGCATTTGTACTCTTAATTTGGACATTTTTTAGGTGATTTTTTTTTCATCTAACATATTATCAGTTCTTGAACATATTGATGGATAACTTGAATCACACATTTAGCATGTTTAGTCAAAAAGTAACAACACTCAATTTTTCAAAGCAGACTATTAAAACTTTAAAAGTATTTGCAACATCATTCAGTCACTTGTTTGCATTTTTGTCAATTTGAGGTATTTCAGTTTCATTTCAAGAAAACATACATGTTTTGCAATAAAACTTCACTAAAAACCTTAATCAGGCTTTTTAATTTTCATTGTCAGCTGCATCTTCATCACCAGTCTCGATCTGCTGTAGCAATTGAATACAGTAACAGTCATATTCATCATGTATGGCTCGCGTATGATAGGCCGGACGGTTTTGGTTTTGGTTTTGGGTGGGTTCGGGTGCAAAGCAGTCAACGCAGGCAGTAGGCTTTGTGAGTTACGACGGTCGTGTTGTGTGTATACGGTTCAGTGTGTAACGGAAGAATACCAGAGTCAACGATACGTCAAGCTCTCGTTGGTGATAAATAAATGATGAGCGGATGAATTGATGTTAAAGACTGCTGTTGGTATTTAAGCGTTACAACTGTCGTTATAAACATGTGAACCGACTTCCGGCAATGTCCGTGATGTTTACAACCGTTTGCGTTTATCTTCGAGTTTATAAGTTGAATTAATGAAAAACAAAACGCGAAGAGAGGTGTGCGTTTTGATAATGCTTAGGTGCGCGTTTTTTCGCACTTCTCCTGATCAATCGAGGCGCGCGAGCGCGATCGCGCACCTTAAAACACAAGGACTGTAAATCAGGGAGTATTTGACTCTTTAATTTTGCACCCTGCACTGCGTATATATTTGCTGCAAGCACGTCTGATGCAACTGGGTCGCAAAATGGGATTGTTATTACTTGATGCCGTATGTGAAGTCCAGCCAGATCATTCATGCATCGAGTTTAATACGGCTAGTTGTTGCGAATACGTATATTATTACGCAGTCACGTACGTGTTACAAGCCTTGCAACATTATATCAGGAGTCTATCAATAGACCTCCTACCTCCTGCCTAGACCTCCTGCCTATTGATAGACTCCTGATTATATCCCACGAAAATTATACATGTAACACTTTATCATACAATCATTACATTAACATCATATAAATCAATAGCGATGATCCTGTCGCTTGTGCTAGCACTGAAATAATAGCCGTGTACATCTCACAAGCCTCGCACAAGTATATCTCGCAATTTACAATCACGATAACATAACAGTCGCAAACAGGCACATGACTATAGAACGCAATAGCGATGGTCCTGTCGCGTGTGCTAGCACTGAAATAATAGCCATGTACATCTCACAAGCCTTGCACAAGTATATCTCGCAATTTACAATCACGATAACATAACGGTCGCAAACAGGCACATGACTATAGAACGCAATGGCGATGGTCCTGTCGCGTGTGTTGCTACTGGAGCAACTGTCACCTCATGCCGCTGGTCCCGCATGTGCCGCAATACGAAAGACCAAACTCCACGACAGATGGCCCTCTCGCTCTGGCTCAATTCACCACTGCCACAGGTAGATTTCCATGAGAATTTCTAACGCTTTTTTACCACAAGTTTTACAGCGGCCAGGTTACTCGTATCCTATGTAATAAGATTTGTACTAATAAAAGTTGCAAAGATATTAAAAATCCGACCATTATTTCATGAAAAATTTGATGAAATAGTGATAAGAAATAGTGTGCGGGTTGTGTGCCCAATTACCTCTTTCAAATCACTCGCAAAATGGCCGCCTCCGGCGGCCATATTCGCTCGTTACGCTGATGAGACTACGATGATTTCTCTAAATCCCGGCCCGATTCATAGTAATCTTTTAGTAAAATATTGACTTAAGACAATAATACAAGAATCCTGTTACTAACATGACATTTTCTGTCTCGGTATATTAATTTCTATATAAAACACTTTGTACACACCTTCTAATCCATTGTTTTTCTTTTCAAATTAAGGCTAATATAATATACGGAACCCGCTTAATACGATTATTTTTCTTTGGCCCGTCAGTTTCGTACTTATAGGCGGATCCAGGAATGCCTGAAGGGGGGGTCACAAGTCATTATATTTCTGTTGTAGTGGCTCGGAAAGCGAGTAAGACCCCCGAGGAAATTTTGTAAATAGAAGGCTTCTGAGGATAATTCTAGTGCATACATAAGGGTTATTTTTGCAGGATTTAATCACTTTATATCAAGACGTTTTCAAAATATATACTCTGTATGGACACTAGGCCTATACATCTTTTGAATATATTGTAAGCAAGTTGGAAGTTTTACTGAAACCAAGAAAAACTTATGCTTTAAATGTGAAAGTAGACCATATTTGTAGAACTAGCTGGTGCCCAAACAAACCAGGACTGTGCCAGAAAAATTAATACCATTAAACATTATATGTGCACATCATTCACACTTTCACTCCAAAACAAAAGATATTCAAATTGTTATGAATGGTGTTTTATTACATACATCACGTTTACAGGTTTATAACTGACGGGGGAAGCCGGGCAAGGCTTAATTCAGTGACACAAAACACACAAGGTGTATGTAAAAAGTCATTCAAGAAGATTTATTAGTTGCATACGGCGTGGGTGTTTTGTGGCGAACTTATCCGTAACCAATTTCAAGTCTATCTGCGTTTCGTAGTGAATCGTCATTAGTGCCAAGCCACTTAACCGTTCTTGTCCGATGTTTGTTCGTAAGTAGGTTTCGAGTCTGCGAAGAGAACTGAAACTGCGCTCGCATTCGCAGCTGGTGACAGCAAATGTGCACAACAATTTCACCAGCACATACAGATTTGGAAAGAAAGCCTTGTCGATGACCTTCATTGTGGCTGCAGCGCTTTCTGGTGGCTGTTCACTTTTGACATCACTCCATCTGTTTATCCAAATGTGAATCTCGGCGTTCAGGTTCTCTGGATTCGGAAGGTCATTCTTGAAACGAGAGGCAAACTTATGGATTGATGTCTCCGAGTCCTGGCGAATTGATGCTTTGATCATACTCGGTACGATGGATATTCCTTCAATACATGCGATCTGTTCCTCGCCAAACCTGTCGTGTAGAGCTGCAATGATCTCATCCAGTATCGGTATTGTCAAGTTCCGTTTGTAATGTTCTTGTGGACTTTCTGCATGAATGTTTGGTCTGTGCTTTTGGCGATTCACAACACGTGGTACACATGGATCAACGTTGACGGACTTGGCCAGGTCGATTATTTTGATGAACAGATCTTTGTGAAAATCATCCACTTTGGCGCGTGACTCTTCAAGTGCCTTGATTACTTCTTGAACTTCACGCATGGCATTCACAATATCTAATGTGTTTGACTGTAGACTTATGCTGATTGGGTGAAGGTAAGACAATACATCTCGTGTAGCAACAAGTGCTCCAACAAATTCAAACTTGGTGATTGCAGAGAGAAGGCATTTGGCTTCAGTGACTGAATTTCCAACCCAGTCTGCTGGATGTGTTGAGATGTCCTCCAGTGAATTGGCTGCAGCTTTAAATAGATCTACACAGACATTCAGAGCATCATGCCGCTGCACCCATCGTGTTTTACACAAAGATTTCAATTTGTTGATGCGGGACTTATTATCTCCAGAAACTTCATCAATCCAAGTTTCCAAGTTGTGCTGTCGCTTTGGAGACAAATTGTAAAAGCTCACAATTTTGTCTGCAGTAGACATCATGTTTCGCACCGCTGGCAATGACAGAGCTTTGACAACAGCCAAGTTAAGTTTTAAGGGAGGAACAGTGTGTGTATATTGCTTTGTCGTTGTGCGATTTTATTCGAGCTGCTGTTCCTCGCATAGATCCGCTCATGTTTGCCGCGCCGTCGTAGGTCTGACCTCTACAATCAGCGAGAGCAATGTCCCATTTCTGCAATTTGTCCATGATACGGTTAGCTATGTATTCACCACTCGTGGATTCACAGACGAGAAAACCCATTAATTCCGTTCGAATGTCATTGTTGGCATCCACAAATCTTAGAACCAATGACAACTGTTCGTGATTTGCCTTATCAGTGGTCTCGTCGGCTGATATAGAGTAGAATTTCGCCTTTCGAACATCAGCCAAAATTGTATCCCTCACATATTGACCACACAAGTCGATCAATTCA